TTTCATTTCTTAGTATAAAATTCATAGAAAATCATATTCATAGAATAATTACCAGATATTATATTACATCCTTATGATTAACACAGAAAATTATTGCTATTTTTTGGTTGGTTGAAATATAATTGATATATTTGTTCAAAAATACTTCTAAATATCCAAAAAATCATATTTTCTAGTTTTATAAATTTTAAATTTGCGTGATTTACTATACAACGACTGAGTCATGTCAAATTTTGGCACCATTGCTAGGGATGTATTGCATATTATTTAGTATTTTTCTATTTTTCTCTTAGAGTATACAAAAAAAATTAACTCTTGTTTTATTTTTTTCTTGCTGAATTATTTTTTTTAGAAAAGAGGAACAAAAAGAAGCAAGGCAAGGACTAGAGCATACTGAAGGAAGGTAACAATTACTAAATTTTCTCTCAAATTTATTGATTTTTTATGCATGGTAGAAGATCTTTGCATCCAAGGCTAGAAAATCTTTTCATTATTTCATTCAAAACTAAAAATCTGAAAGAAAAATTAATTTTGATAAATCCTGAAGGAAGTACAGATCAAATTAAGAACAATCCTATAGCCATGAAAAATCATTATATCCCTGATTCATTTCAAAGAACATCCAATATTAGAGTCCCATTAGCACTCACTATTAAATTCGAAATAAATCAAGGATTTTTTCAAATGCTCCCTAATTTTCATGGATTTCCTTTAGAGGAACCTCATCAGCACTTAGAAAAATTTCATATGGTCTGTGATTTAGTTAATCTCTCTAAAGTTACACCGGAAATTATTAAGGTGAAATTATTTCTTCATATACTTTTTTGTAGAGCTTCTTTCTGATTTTCATGCAATAATATATCAAAAATCATCGTGAAAAACAGAATTATCTTCATCCATTTCACCACCCAAAATAGAGTAGAGAAGATAACCTACACTTGGATGACATCACATGACCTGTTAATGTGGCCCAAATTTACCAACTTGTCCCATAAACCCTTAATATATCTTCATCGTGATGTGATCATGAACTTTTATGTTATATTGTCATTATCTTGATAATTTGTAGATTACTAAAAATAGCTGAAAACATGTCTTCATAAATTCCCTAAAATTTTCAACATGTAAAAATAAAAAGATGTAAAAAAGGATAAAAAAAGAAAATAATCTTCTCCACAATTAAAATTTGCAAATTACTTGAGCTCTATATATTCGATTTTAATCATTGCTGATATTCAGAAGTGATAAATGACTCAAGACTGCAAAATATTCCAGAGAAAATGGAGGAGAAAAGCAAAAAAGTAAAAGAGAATTAAATGATAGAACATACACCTAAAATCAGGAAAACATGGGAGGAGAGAGAAAATACGACCACTAGTGGGGTTTCTCCATTGGAAGTGAAAAAGGAAAATAAACTTGAGTCAACTACTGATAAATGATAACTGATATTTTGAAATAAATATACGAAAATGGTCAGAAAAAAGTCAATTTTCATAAGAAATAGTAAAATTAGAAGGGAAAATAAAAAATGGAAATAAAGCCACAAACCCATCCATGTTGGTTACCCAAGAATAGAGTATCATTGTACTGAGAAAATGGAATGGAAATGAAAATGCCAATTTAAATGCTTAATGATGTCATCTATATCACCCAGATGATGAAATAAGCTAAAACGAAAATAAAATCAAGTCAATTGGAAACCTAATTCGCAAACACCATCTATCACTCTACTCAACTATCACCAAAAGATAGAGTACCAGAAAATGAATGTCAAATTGTCTAAAAAGTGGAAAAAAATAAATAGATTGAAAGCCTTAATCTCATTGTTTGTGTGTTGCACAGACAATGGATTAATAAGGAACGAAAATAGATGTAATAAAAGGAGAAATCAAACTTGTAAATAACTAACATTGCTCTGCTTGTCTCCACCTATAACCAAAGAGAACTTGGCTTGAAAATCTTGCAAAGCCCACTAATCTTCTACTCTTTATCATCTAGAAAGATTCCTCCCTTTTCTGTAGAGCTTCTTTCTGATTTTCATGCAATAATATATCAAAAATCATTGTGAAAACCAGAATTATCTTCGTCCATTTCACCACCCAAAATAGAGTAGAGAAGATAACCTACACTTGGATGACATCACATGACCTGTTAATGTGGCCCAAATTTACCAACTTGTCCCATAAACCCTTAATATATCTTCATCGTGATGTGATCATGAACTTTTATATTATATTCTCATTATCTTGATAATTTGTAGATTACAAAAAATAGCTGAAAACATGTCTTCATAAATTCCCTAAAATTTTCAAGATAAATCTATTTTCCAATTTGAACTTCATGAGTATTTTTTTTCAATTTTAAAATAATTCTCAAGACTATAAACCTTGGATAATCATGTTAGCACATGGATTAAAAATGAAAAATATATTTATTTAACATAAATCATAAAAGAATAGTAAGTTAAATATAAATTCATCACATCACACTCAAGCCAATGCTAATAAAGTTAAATATTATCATGTTGAGAATTTCAGCTTGTAAAGCCTTCATAACTTTAATAAAGATTCACACTAGCTAGTCCAATGTTCGGAGCTTTGGATTTTTTTTAATTACTTTATTAGATTCTGAAATAGTGCATCAAACAAGACATTTGTTCTGACTGCGAAGTAAATTGTAAGCCTCGGTTAAGTCAAGTGATCTCCAATGTACCATACAGCCTATGACCATTGTTTTCCATTAATGAAGCGTAAAGAATTACTATAAATCAATAAATTAAAATGGAATACTTTGAAATGGCGTCATTTTTGTGACAAGCATAACCGTCAAGTGAGCATGAGGCAAAAGTTCTGAAAGAGTGTGCTACATGACACGGGGAGACGATTTATTCCCAGCATCTGAGGCTACATCTTATCAATCATTTGACTCAAGTGAAATCCAAAACCACTGCATTTGACATCTCGATAACCAATGCATAGTCTTACTTCGGAGTGAGTTGTCGCAAAGTAGTGGTTTTGGATTTTCCCTCTCAAAAACAGAGCAGAGGTATCTTTAGGGTAATTAACCTGTCATTGTCAAAGAATCAGTCAATTGCTATAAAAAGCCTCCTTCGTCCAGAACACTATTTGTGTATGTACAACCTTCAGTAGACCATGGTTTGTGATTAAATTCCTCAACAATACACATTCGATGAATCCTTGGTGAGGTTTGAAAAAGCTTGAAACATTTATTGGGAAAGGTATAGAATCCTAGTGAGTTCTCTACGCCAACCTTGCAAATCAAAACTTCACATGCTCGACTTCTTATTCAAATTTCGTGCAGAAGATATCATCTTGAATCTACCCTCCAATTTCCTTTTCTTTAGACAAGTTCAATTAGAATTAAACTCACCACTCTTGGTGCCATCAACCCTGATTTTTTTCCTCCTGCTCGTTTGATACTTAGTGATACTTAGGATTTCCATTTTTTTTGGGTGTACAGTGCTCTGCACTGGTTTTGACCATTACATTCACAAAAAATTGGCGGGATAAAGTCATCAAAATGCCTATTTGACGGGGCCACGTAAGATATTTGGAGCTTTTTCTTGTTGACCTTCCCGTCGAGTGCGATGCAAAGTCAAGGGCGGCGGCGGATGGAAGTGCTGCCACACCGTTTTCTAAAGTGAAGTATCCCCTTTTGTCCTAGTCTCATGTTACCATCATTCAAAGTATCCAAGTCTTAGTCAGCACATTGTTTGAACAGGTTAACATTTTAAACGTTCATCGTAGACGACTTCATTGTGGAGTTACTCGTGCAAGCAGGTCCTCTGTGCACCTCAGTTTTTCCTTTCCAAGACTGACAGGTTCGCATTTTCTTGATGACTTCGTGTTGTCAAATTAGTCGAAATATGACTCATGACATGTTCAATCTTTACGAAACTTATGTATCTCCGCTTTCATTGACTCCAGTTTTTTTGGAATTATCGCGTTTTAAAATAATGTGGTTATATCGACTGTAGGATGGTTCAGGCTTTCAATATTGAACACAAATCTTCTGGGAGATGGCTTAGACTTCACCAAGGTGATGGTTCACTTTGTAGCGAGACCCAACGGCCTGTATAATCGAATGTTGTTGAACCTAAGATAGTAATTTCAGCAGTAACATAGCTCCAGATATTGCACCCACTGGTGTGAATTTTCCACAAAGAAATTAATGTTTTGCAGGATATGAAAGTTTTTCCAGGTAGGAAGTAGATAAGAAAAACAAGCAGTGACCTTGTCAAGAGCCGCCAACGGAGACTTAGGACCACCTTACTTTGGAGAAACTAGGTTTGAGTGCTGAGGATGCGTATGAATAACGTTTACGGCCGCTATTAGGTTAAGATTTACACACTAGGCTGCGGGCAACAAAATCGTATTATTTTCAGACACGTGGCTCCATTCGTTGGAGCACTAATTTTCACAGGTACCGATTTTTCAAGTTGGTATCTGGTAACCAGAATACCCTTGCAGTTGGTAGGCGGCAACATATCCAGGACGAATAAGAATAAAGCCGACCAGGTAGAAACCAGACATTGGGACGAAATAGATGCGTGGAGACGAGAACAATGGCCCACTTCGTGGCTGCATTTTTTTCTTGTTTACCTTATCCTTGGAAAGATTTTCGTACCCCAAAAATAGCCACCTATCTGCTGCACGACTCTGCTGGGTCATGGGGAAGGGAAGAAGAGGTCAGCAAGAAAAGATGCGGCGACCTGTTCGCCAAACGTCAGATGAGACTAACGAGCGCCCTGCCATTGACATATGCGTACGCATTGACGTCTTTCCCTGGTGACGAAATATACAACGAAACATCTGCGACGACGCGCGTAGTTCCTTCCGGCCCACCCTACTACTTACTATAAATAGCACGGATCGGGGCCGGGGGAACAGCAGCTCATTACCGCTCGACAGGCACAAAACCCCCTGAGGTACCCATACTTTCGGATTCTTCTCAAGTCCTACCATCGCCTAAGAAAGGATATGGCCACCGCCTGCAAGACCCCGGTCGCCGCGGCAGCTGCCGTACTCCTGTTGCTTATCGTAGCCGTCGCCGTCGCCCCGGCGTCAGCCAGCAGCATGACGGGTTATTCGCAGTCGGGTTGCAGTGGGAACCGCAGAAGGTGGGGATGTGGTGCGTGCTACAACCTCGCCGGCTACAAGGGAGGCTACTTCTTCGACTACTCGGGGGGCCAGGTGGGTAGGCTCTACCGCGGGTCGAACTGCCAAGGCTCCTATGACTCCGTCGGCAGGGACGTCCGCCGTTGCTCTCCCTACGCCTATAACAGCTTCCGCATAATGTGCTGAGCGTGGTCATGTTGGCTGAGTGCTGTCTACTGAACTCGCCTCCAGTTAGTGCTCTCATCATGTGTGTACTGACGGCCCCCCATAAATAAATCGTATGAAATAAAAGAGCACGGCAGTCGCCTAGTGCTGAAAAAGTTTATTCCTGCTGTCCTCACGAATAGGCTACGCGCGTGTTTGCCTGCTTCCTGGGACCGCGTCAATTCGTTCCAGGAGATGGGCGGCAGTCTGGTTTTAAACATTTCCATTCGATATTTCCAAAAATAATAGTTAATGTTGTTGAGTTCATCGAGGCAACCCGACGTTTACTGAACTAAGCCTAGACATCCAGTGCTTTCGTCAATGCAAGTGGCACATGGCTACAAGTAAAGAGCTAACAATTAAACTAAAGAATCTACTTGTTGATGAAAAAAATAATGAATTCAATTTCCTACTAAAGTTTGAGTGTTTAATGCTTCATTGCCATGTAAGAGACTAAAGTTAGATTTGATGGTGAGCTGATAAGTCATTATTATCATAAGTTAATAATTAGTAAATAATATAGTTTTAGTCTTATCTCATGATAAATAGACTTATATTTATGTTAAATTATGAAAAGTGATTAACATAAATTTTTGGTTAATTATGTAATTTTCTACGAATTTATATAATTTTAATAGTCCTTTTTTGAGATAAATAAAGAAAAAGAAATTAAAATAAAAACATAGTAAAATGAGGGGACCCATCAGTCAACCGGGCCCACAAGTAGGTCAGAAGTACAATCAAGGAGAGCTAAGAGTAGGGGCACTTGAGTGGCTAGAGTCGATGGGGACACATATGTGCCACTCCCCTTCCACGTCACTAGTGGCCAACCAATTGTGGGACACGGAGTGGTCGTACACACGGGAGAAAGGGATATACTGTTTGCAAATATGATATTACTATGTATTCGCCTAAAACCTTGGCGCACAAGTAATGTCGGACTAAGCTCATGTCACACCTTCCTGCAAAAGGCTTCGAAGACTTTACTACCTAAATTACCCTTTAGTTATAATAGAGATATACCATGATGATGTCACTTAATAAGGGCCTTAGAGTATGTATTTTAATCTCTCTCATATAGGCAGGCACCTAGCACGGGTTTGAATCCTTCTAAAGTCAAAAGTCATATTTTTATTTGATTATCACAACTTTCTTACAAATTACCACCAAAATCACCAAAATTGTTACTAAAATCACTAGATCATTGGTGAAAATCTCGTCAACACAATTCATGGAGTATTGTTACTAAAATTGTTAGACGATTCATAGTAAAAGGATTGTGAATCCATCAAATAAATCATCTCTGATTGATCGATGAACAAGTTGTCATTGAGAAGAGAACAATCTGTAAAGAGATGAGTCGTCACCTCTTGAGAGCATACCTTATGCAATGAAGAGCCTCTTCTTGTTGTGTAAACTTGAGGATGAAGCTCCCTAACACGTGCCTCACCTCTATCTAGCTCTTCTTTGTCAAGTGACAGCCACCAAAAAGTTACAAACTTGTTATTTTTCTACTCTGTCAAATGACAACTGTCAAAAATAATTTGACGACCTATTTTATTGATCTCTAGACTTTGTAAGGAGATTTAGAGATTGTCCACATTGTCCTTATCCAAGGAGAGACTTCAAGGCTTTAGACACTACATGATAATTCTTTTGAATAATTAGGATTCCGATGCATCGCCGACGCATCAACGTCGCAACAATGTAACTCTAACTTTCTACTTTAAACTTAATTTCTACTTCATTTAGTAATAATTTCTGCAATTTAAATTTAACAACCTATACTTCATTCAATTATGACTCTTCTAACTTTTATAAATCTTAATTTAATCAATTAAATCGTCTATAATCGCTTACATAAGAATTGTCAATTGAAGCTCTATTTTTGTTTGATTCACATTTGTCAGGTCCTGTCGTCATCTTGACGTCCGCATCCTTATTTTCTTTTTTTGTGAATTTTAGATATATTTTATTTTTATATCTTAGTATAAAATTTATAAAAAAATCAAATTCTTTAAGGAAAATTCTAAAAAATTACTTGATAGTATATTATATCGCTTGATTGACTTGGAAAACTACCACTATCTTTAGAAGTTTTAATGAATTATAATTGATATATTTGTTCAAAAATACTTTTAAATATCTGAAAATTAGTATTTTCTAGTTTTATAAATTTTAAATTTATGTGATTTACTATACAATGACTAAGTCATGTCAAATTGTACTGCTGTTATTGGGGATGTATTATATAGTATTTAGTATTTTTTTCTCTTAAAATACACAAAAAAATTAACTCTTGTTTTATTTTCTTCTTGTAAAAAACATTAAAAAAAAAGGGAACGAAGAGAAGCAAGACAAGGATTGGAGCATACTGAAGGAGGGTAATAATTATTAAACTTTTTCCTTGAATTTACTGATTTTATGCATGGTAGAAGATCCTTACATCTAAGGTTGGAAAATCCTATCACTATTTCATTCAAAACTAAAAATTCGAAAGAAAAATTAATTTTAATAGATTTTGAAGGAAGTACATATAAAATTAAGAACTATTCTATGGCCATGAAAAATTATTATATCTCTATTTCATTCCAAAGAGTATCCAATATTAGATTTCTATTAGCACCCACTATTAAATTCGAATTAAATCTAAATAAACCTAATTTTTAAATAATCCCTAATTTTCATAGATTGTCTTTTGAGGAATCTCATTAGCATTTAAAAAAATTTCATATGATCTGTGATTTAGCTATCTTCGTCAAGTTACATCGAAAATTATTAAGATAAAATTATTTCTTCATACACGCAGGGACAAAGTTATTCATTGGCTATCCACATTAGATAGAGAATTAACTAGTTAGAAAGACATAGAATAGGTTTTCTTCAAAATTTTATCCTCTAGGAAAAATTCAAAATATGAGAAAATATATATAAAGTTTTTCTCAGAGACTAAAAGAAACTTTCAATGAGACATGGGAAAAAATCAAAGATTTACTTAGAAAGTGTCTTCATTATGCTATACCTAAGTGATAACTCAATAGAATTTTTTATGATAGATTATTAGAATAACATAGAAATATGGTTGATTCTATATGTGAAAGAGCTTTTATGGAGAAAACCCTTGATGAGATTTACAACTTTTATGAGAATTTCAGTGAAAATTTTAGATATCAAGCCTTTTTTTAATTATATGATAGAGATAAGAAAAGAAGAATTTATGAATTGCATCATCAAAATGATTCTAATTTACGAAATAAGGTTAATCAGATTAATTAAATATTAAAAAAACCTAATTTACTTATTGACAATATTAGAAAGCCTCTTAACCCTCGATTTAATTCAAATAGTACATGTCTTATGTACGATGAAAATGATTAGTCTAAATTTCAATGTTATAATTTAGATCAATCATTCCACCTTATGCAAGGATAAGTGCAAGTAGCTCACGATTTTAATAAAAATAGATTTTTTTTTAATTCTTATAATCCTAATTAGAGAAATAATTTTTCGTGAAAGACCTAAATATTATTCAAAATTCAGAAGCACTTAGACCTAATTTAGACTCTAAATTTTGTCCAAAATAGAAAAATAGATTTTAGAAAAATCAGCCCTCCCAAATCTAACCTAATGCTATAGAAATGATGCCATAAATGAGTCAAATGATGTAACAAACTATAAATCAAATGATGTTGCAGTAGAAACAAATTGTAGAGCCTCTTGGGAATAAGAGAGAAGAGGGGCAACTACTTAGTCAGCCTAGAGAAAATCTAGGGAACCGCTTAACAATAAGATTTCAGCAAGAGGAGTCTAATAGCATGAATCTAAGAAAAAACCCACGAAATAAAAATGTTAGGACAGTGAATGTATTAAGGAGTGGAATGATTTTACCTGATCCTTATCTCTAAACATTAGAAGAAAAGAAAAACATAGACAGCTGAAAATAAAGCCAAATAGGAGTAGAAGAAGATTTTATAGATTTTACTAAGGAAATTTCAAAAGAAAGGACAACCATTCTATTTCACAAAGCTCTAGAGCCTAGACGAAGAAAGAAAAAAGAACACAATGAAGAAATAAAGAAAATTTTACAAGATGTGCAAATTAGTCTTCTTTTAGTTACTACCATTGAACATATTCCTAAATATGCAAAGTTTTGAAAGAAATATGTACACCAAAAAGGGCACCTAGAGTAGAAAAATTATCTATGCATGTTAGTGTTTTATTATTAAATCAATTACCATATAAATTGAGAGATACCAGTGCCCCTTTAATTTCATGTGATATTAGTGGATTCATTTTTCAGAATACATTACTTAACACCGGTGCTAGTATTAATTTATTTCCTACAAGTATTTGGGATAAATTTAATATTGTTGATCTTAAACCTTTTACTATTACCTTACAATTTGATGATAACTCAATAAAACATCCTAAAGGTATTTTAGAAAATGTGATAGTGATAGTTAAAGGGTGTAAATTTTAAACTGATTTTATAGTGTTGAAAATTGATTTTAATGGACAGTTTTATAATACACCAATCATCCTAGGGAGACCATTTTTGCATACAATAAAGATGATTATTAATTTTCTCACAAGTATTGCAAAAATTTCATGTGGAGATCAATCAGTAGAAATTAAAATTTTTGAAATATCAAATGATCTTAAGAAATCTCAAGTATACAATTGCTATATCGTAGATCTTCTAAATAATTTTGATGATCTAGATGTTATTGATGACTGTGTGTTGGAAGAATTAGAGGAGAAAAGAAAGAAGAAGATCATCTAAATTTAGAGTTAAAACCTCTTCCCTCTAGTTTTAAGTATATGTTTTTTGGAGGAAAATAATTCATTTCATATTATTATTGCAGCTGATTTCAGTGATCAATAAGAAGAAGAATTATTAGATGTACTTCAAAAAAATAAGAAGACTATTGGTTAGAAAATGGATGATCTTAGGGGCATTGATATGAGTGTATGCATGCATA